AACCTGGATCCATAGTTGCATTCATGATATTTTGAAAAATATCATGAATGCTTAAATTTAAAATAAAGTATTACAGTAAACTATACATTATTCTTAATCCTTTTCAAAATACCACCCCCCAACATAGTTATTCCATTGTTTTTTTTTTTTTTAATTTTATTATTCATTGGTCTTGCCATTTTCTGAATCTGTTCTGAAGTCCTCTTCCATGAGTGTTTAGTGGGACTACTGTTTACCCTTCAGGGGGTCAACTTTAGGGAACAACCATAAGTCCCATGATGCCTGATCAGGTAAATAAGGTGGCTGAGGACAGACCATCATGTTTTCATTTGGCAGAAACTGCTGTTAATCTTTTGAAGCACTTGAGGACATCTAGGCAGCAATGAAGGGACAATCAAAAGAGTTTTAGAATTGCTTCAAAAGTGACAGCAATTGAACTCATGACTTCACATTTGCCAGGCAGGTGCTATGCAGCTGAGCTGTATCCCTAGTGTGATAAAGTTTTAGAATTTTAAATGTTTACTCTGTTCATTGATCATACCTATATATTCTGGTTCCATGTTGTGGCCTGTGATACAGCTAGGCTCTTTTGCTGTGGTAAGATAACTATAGGAACCCCAGCTTCAAATATCGTAGAATTGAAGACCAGGGATAAGAGATCAGTCCATCATTTCCTGGGCTACTTGGCCTAAGTGTAGGCATCATGCTGGCTCTGTTCAAGTCACATAGGGTAAGAGGAAAAGAGCAATTATTCCATAGGTAAATTCTTTTTATTTAGGAAAAGAGTGAATATATGTTGTGTGACAAAACAATTTTTACTGCAAATATGTAACAATTACTAGCTGCTTACTGTGTCAGGCGATCTACTGTATATTTTGCATGCTTTATCATTTAATACCTTCACTACTTGGGTGAAGTAGATATTACTAGCACCATTTTATATAAGAAAGAAGAAAAAGTATCAGGATGGTAAGCTAGGTGAGAGTTTCAAAGAAGGGGTCAAGTATAGAGAATGGTAAGGATTTTTTAAAATGCAGAAATGCACGAAACATTGGATAATTGTATCTCATGTAAAGTAACTATATTAAGTATATAAATAAATAAGAAAAATACTATGAATGTGGTTAAAAATCTCAAATAATACAGAAACGTAAAAGTAGTAAACATTTCCTTCTTAGAGCTTGACAGTGGGAGAACATTTGCCTAGTACCACAAAACAAAACAAAACAAAACAAAACACCAGCTTCCTCTTTCATCCTAATGTTCCCACTAAATGTCTTCATTATTATCTTGCATGTCACCCTAGAAAAATGTTTCAGTATTTGCTAGCTTTAACAATAGATTATATTTTATTTCCAGAAAAGAAATTGAATTATATGATACTGCTATTCACCTTGTGTTTGTCATTTGACATATGACACCTTTCTCTGTCAACAAACAGCTTGTTTTCATAAATAGTTATGCAGCATTCTGGTATCTTGGTTTAACGTAATTTCTTTTATGGTAGTTGAATTACAAAACTGAATTAAAAGATGGGGTGTGGTGCTGCACACCTGTAATCCCAGTGCTGGGCAGGCTGAAAACAGGAGGATCACTATAAATCCAAGCTGTGCAGTGAAACCCTGTACCAAATACATTTAAACAAACAAACAAACAAACAAAACCCATAGATGGCTGCATATTCAAAATTTGTGAATTACATGGTTTTTTGGCTACAATGTATTACCTACCTGCAAAAGTATTGTAAGTATAGCCAATAAGAGTAATATTGGGAATTACAGGATAGCCTGGGCTATATACTGAATTCAAGTCATAGTCTCAAAAATGATGAACATTTTCTAGAAATTATCTAAAATCCAGTGGAGCAATGTCCAAAAAGGAGCAAAATCAAAAAAATGTACAAGATAAGCTACAGAACAAAAAGATGATAACTATAAATAATATAAACATGATACAATATGCACAAGATAGCAACATAGGAGTAAATTTGACTGCTAATGTTATTTCTCAAAACTGCCCCACAGAGAGGCTGGGGAGATAGCTCAGTGGAATAAGTGCTTGCCTGGCAAAACAAAACAAAAACTGCCCCACAGAATAAGAAAAAGAGTAACACTGTACTATGGCTATTTATCATAGCCAGAATTGTGAAGAAACATAAATGCAATACTTTATACATATGCTATGATAACTATGTACAGACACTGGTGTGGGGTAAAGATTAGAGGTCTTTATTAGTTGAGCTACACTACTGTTGGCAGTTACGTCTTGTGTCTGCACCTGGCATTGGTGAATCTGTCTACCATACAAAAAATTGGATTTCATTTGCAAGCAGCTCTATGATAGGATATTTGAGTAAAAAATCCTGCCACTTTCTCATTTCTCTACTGAAGGAGAGACATCAATCTGATTAGAGTTACCAATTTAGGGGAATTTTGATGAAAAATGCAGTTTAAAAAAGATATGGCCTCTGGCCAAATAGCTTAGCAGATTAAAGCGCCTGCAAGCAGGCTCAGGGTTTAGGGGTTCAATCCCCAGGCCTGCCGTGCTGGCCCTGCCCCTGGGGCATGCTGAGATGGCAGTTGAGACTGGGCATGGTGGCACAGGCCTGTAATTCCAGCTCTTGGGAGGGTGTAAACAGGTGAATCACTAAGAGTCCGATCTAGTAGTCAAGTCTGATCCAGTAGTGAGACCCTGAACACCCTGTAGACCCTTCCCTAAAAAAAAATTAAAAAAAAAAATAAATAAAAATAAGATACAACCTTGTGTGGTCATGAGCAAGACTGATATCTCTATTAATACCAATATTCTAGGGTTATCCAATATATAAACAAATAATAAAACTTGGTAATATATGCTTATGATCCTTCTTACACTTGCTACTTAGTTATTTCTGTGACTTTTAAATCTTATCTTTATATAAATTCTTGTTGACAAGTCATGGCTTCCCTATTTCTGGCCTAAAATCTTTCTTCTTAGTGCTTTACCTTTTAGTGTTATTTCTTAAATCTTATTTTCTTTCTTTAAGCCTTCTTAATCTTTTTTAAGTGTACACTTAAGTGCCATTAAGTACATTAACTGTTGTGCTACCATTGCCTCCATCCACAGAACACTTCAACTTGCAAAAATGAAACTCTACTCATTAAACAGTACTTGCCATTTCCTCTAATCCCTAGGCCCTGACAATTTTTGTCTCAAGAGTTAGACTGCTTTAGGTACTTCATATATAGAGAGCCATATAGTATTTGTCGTTTAGTGACTGGTTTATTTCAGTGAGCGTAATGTTTGGATCTAATTCTTAACATTAATTCTTATTTTCTTGTTTCTAACTCTGTTCCACATTAATGACACATATTCCCTCACAGAAGTGTAAAACCTATAATGAAGGTACATTTTCAGTTTTTGATAGCATAGGTTGAGTAACTCTTACCAAAATACTTGAGACCAAAGTTTTTCATATTTTGATTATTTTCAGATATTGGAATAGTTGCATATACATATGAGATGGCTTATGTGCTAACCCAGAGTCTATAACTTTTTTTATGCTTCATAAACATCTTATACATATCGCCTGAAGATAATTTTATACAACATTTTCAGGCACCTGTGTTCTGATGTTGACTTGTCACATGAGGACAGGTATGGAATTTTCAACTTGTGATGTCATATTGACATTGAAAACATTTTGAGTTTTGGAGCAGTTTGGATTTCAGATTTCCAGATTAAGGATATTCAGTTTCTACTGTATTGTCTGTAATAAACGGATTTGTGTATGGATCCCTGTGTACCTTCATGTGTATATGATAAATTCCAATGATTAGGATTTCCAGGGAAAGAGTCCTTGTATAAGAATACCTCCTTTGAGTCAGTCTTTTTTTTTTTTTTTTTTTTGGTACCAGGAATTGAACTCAGTGCCTTGTGTTTGCCAGGTAGGCGCTGTGCCCCTGAGCTATATCCCTCGGCCAAGTCATTCGCTTCTAATTCAAAATATGGCAGAGCTACCAAATTGGCAGAACCTAAGTTATTTGTTTGTGTTCTAACTGTAAGGAACGATCAAGAGGAAGTGTGTATGTGTGTGTGTGTGTGTGTGTGTGTGTGTGTGTGTAATGGGAAAATATACAAGGCAGAGAATTCTGCAAATATAGGAATGGCAGTACTAAATTTACCTGCTCTTTAATTATGTATAGAAATATGTTAGTATCCCAGCATTGGCTTCTGTGTATTTTTCTTTTGTTGGCTGGGTATTGTTTCAAGTTTATTTATGGAATGGGGAATTAAACTCAGGACCTTGCGCTTATCAGGCAGATGCTATGGCACTGAGCTACACCCGAGACTCCTTGTTTGGAGTCTTTGATTACCCATTTGTTGCAGTTACTTTTCTCTCATTTCTGGGACAAAATACCTGACCCTCAAAATTCAAGGAAGGAAAGGTTTATTTATAAGCTCCCAGTTTGTGAGGTTTCAGTTCATACTCTGCTGTCTCAGAGGCAGAGTGGCACATGGCAATGGGCAGCAGTTCATGGCGGTGGAAAAAACAGCAAAGAGCATCCAGGTGGATTCCTTGAATTGGTTCCTATTCTGTCTAGTCCTATATCAAAATACACAAGCCATCCATGCAGGTAATGTCAGCTAAATGGTGTACATGAGGAGCACCTTTCTGAGCCAGGGAGAATCTTCCCAGTGTTAGAATTCAATCTCTTCTTTTTCTGCTTCTTTGGCACCATGTTTCTGAATGGTTGGTGATCTCATTTTTTGTAATAACCATACTGCCTATATTCCATAAAGGGGACTAGAATTTCTTCTCATAAGAAAGTAGGATTTCAGAAGTTTGAGGTTTTTTAGTAATAGGATACATTATGCTTTTGCCAAGATTTTTAAAGTTTCTGATTTGTACTATTATGTACACATTGGGATGTTTTATTTGCATTTTCTTTTTTCTTTTCCTGTATATATACCTTCCTCTGTACTGCTGAGTTATGTTGTTTTTCCTTTTATTTTTACAGTGAATACAATCAAGTGACATCTTAAAATTTTACTGGAAGTGGAGACATGAGACTGAAGATATCTCTTTTAAAAGAACCAAAGCATATCCTTTTAATATTTACAAACATTATTATAATCATCTGACTATCGTATTAAAAGTTTCTTATAGTTTGTAGTCTAGTTAGAGAGTGGATTGATTTTTAAAAAGTTTTGTACATGTGCTGAAGAAAGCATTTTTTTTTATAGTAGTTTAGCTAAGTTTTTATTGAAATATTTGAGATCATGTGTTATAGGTATATTTCTCCAAACTATTTATTCCAAATCTTACTTTCAAATTTTTACTCAAGTATTTTACTTAAGTACTTGAACACTAGTCTTTAGTCTAATAAAATTTTAGACCTAATAAATGTTTGTTGAATTTTTTTGTACTCTCTATAGAGGACAAGCTAGGGAAATAAGAGCCATAATAATCTATTATTTTACAAGGGAAGGTGGAAATTGTTAATATTTCTTCAAATACATGACTTTTGTCGGCAAGAGTTATCAGTTATGTGTCAAGATAACGATTGCCTCCATTATCCTCATTTGTATTTAGACTAGTTCTTAACATTTGTAGACTTTGTTTTAGATCTGTCAAGGGATAAAGAAATGGAAAGTGAGAGGTAAGACATTTTGGTAGCAATTTATCATCATTATAACATCCAGACTTAAGATAATGCATCTTAATTTTTAAAACATTTTATAGTGCTAAGGATTGAACCCAGGACCTCAAACATGTTAAGCATGCACTCTTCCACTGAATCACATTTCCAACCCCATTTTGATTTTATAAAATATTAATCTGCAATGGATTCAAAATAAAGGCAATATGGTCCTTTGTCAAAAATAGAAAATGATTTGAACATTTAATCAAACCTTTTGAGATTTATCTTTTCATTTGTATTATTTTGTCTAATTATCTCTTTAAAGATGTAATTGATTACCTTTTTCATGTATGTTCTCAGGAATTTATACCATATACAATTTCATTTTATTCTTGTTTTTTAAGACAGGATTTCACTATGAAGTTCAGGCTAACCTAGAACTCACTGTATAGCTAAGACTGGTCTTGAACTCACAGTAATCCTGTCTCAGCTTCTCATTTGCTAGGGTTAAGGTATACACTATCATGCCTGGCCATACACAATTTTATAGATGTGTACTGTTTTCTTTTATGTTTTAAAGCTCAAGAATACCCTTATCTGGCAGTCCTCTAATTTCTCCTGTCGTTTCAGATGACCTATTTAATGTTGACTTCTTCCACAACTGATGTGTTTATGGTGATTTGTGAAAGAATGAGCTATTATCTTTTGATTTGAGATATGTGTGTGTATTTTCTCCCTGTCTAGATTTTACTTTTTTCCTTTCTAGCTTTTAGAAACCTTGTTGGAAAGGCGCAATTACATTGGAGCAGTTTTTCAGTCATTGTGTAGTGGTCTTTTTGTTAACATTGTATTCAATTAGGAGTGTTTCAGTGCCACTGTATAGTACGTACTTAGGAGGCCTATGAAGGGCTTTGTATAATCTTTTAATTTTTAAAAATTTTTGCTTAATGTGTCATACTTTGAAATAATAAATTGTAGAACATCTCAAAATAATTTTGGCACATGTGTTTCCTAGGAAAAAGTTTGATTGCTCAGATAAATGAAAAAAAAATGAGCAAAGAATGAAGTAAAAGGACTACATGATAATAAGAGAGGAAACAAAATAATCAGGAATGACACTGCAATTTGAAATTTGCTAATCCAAACAAGAAAATAAATTCTTTGTAAAAGACAAACTAAAGTATCTTCTTTAAGTATACAGGCGTTTCTTTCTTTCTTTTTTTAATACTACGAAATCAAACTTAGGACCTTACACTTGCTTGGCAGGTGCTTGTGCTGCTGAGCTACAGTTCTGCTTCAGCAAGCCACTTGTCCTAATGAGGGTATGAGGACTACTTTAGCATCTCAGTTTACATGGAAATTCTGATAATTCAGGGACTGAAAAAGGATTTTAAAGATCATATTTTATTCTTTCTTGATTATGCTTCTGATAGGTTCAATAAATTGTAGAATGATTTTTTGACTTTGCTTAAAAGTTTGGTATTGTCAAATAAAAAAAGATACAGTGAAAAAAAGGGGAAAAGGTTTTTTTTTTTTTTTTTTTTTTTGCGGAACCAGGGATTGAACTCACACCCTTGTGCTTGCCAGGGAAGTGCTTATTCTACTGAGCCATCTCCCCGGCCCCAAAGGGGAAAAGTTTGTTAAGATTTAGTTTTAGCTATTAAGCCATGATTGTTATTTAATTTTTGCAAACTCAGGACCTTACTCCTGCTAAGCAGGTGCTTATGCCACTATGCTGTCTTTGTGGACCCACCCTCTAGGTGAACTGTTACTATAATCCGTGATTTAAGAAGGTATTTTTCTTAGTTTTCATTCATCAATAACCAATTTTTTAAAACTTGCCCAAATAATACATCCTTTCTGATAAGTAATACAGATCTAGCATGGTTCTGTTTTCTTCCTATTTCTTAACACTTTAAATAATTTCCTACCCTTTGATCTATTGTGTTTCTTTTGTGTTATCTTTTGGCAGCATTTAAGAAATATTTTGTAACAGAAATTTTAATTTTATTCAGTCAATCCCCCCCATCACATCTGACATTCTTCCTTGCTTTCTATCTGGATAGCAGATTTCATATACTTAATTTCCTTCATATGGAAAAAATATCAAAGCCATAAAATGCAGGCTACATTTTGAGACTTGGAAACATTTGACTTATTGTACTTTATCCTACAGTCTACATCAGTGCATTATTAATTTTTTGAGACTTCTGTTTTTTATGCCTCCTTAATATGGCATCACATCAAGAATTAGTAAGCTGTGTGGGCTGGACTACTGCTGAAGAACTGTATTCATGTAGTGATGATCACCAGATAGTGAAGTGGAACCTGTTAACCAGTGAAACAAGTCAATTAGTAAAGCTACCTGATGATATTTACCCCATAGATCTTCACTGGTTTCCAAAAAGTTTAGGCATAAAGAAACAGACTCAAGCAGAAAGCTTTGTTCTTACAAGTTCTGATGGTAAGTTAATGTTTTAACGCTCATCTTTGTGTTTAAAAGACATGATATAGTCATATGACTGTGGTTTGAATTGTTTTATAAAAATGATATTTGTGGATCAAAATGCTTTTATTTATTTCTTCTGTAGTCATTTGGCTTGTGTATAGGCCATAAGACTATTGTTATGGGAGAAGTGAATTAAACTGGGATATAGTAGGATTGAATCTAGAACTTTGGCTTGAGTCTTCATTATGCTCTTAGGAATTGAGTTTAGCTGTTATCACAATTTTGGTTTCTAATTTCTTTATACTTAATTTAATAATATGCCTACATTAAAAATGTGGATATACATATGCATTTAGTCAGGTATCTATTAAATATATTCTTTATTTTCTAGCACATACTAATTTCCAGTGACAGAGTTAAAGATGTGTATAACTTGACCATAGTTTCATACTAGAGAATAGAATTTCTTAAGGAATGCTTTTATATTCCTTTCTTAAAAGTACTTGAACTATTTTTACCTTTATTATTCTTTGGCTGTTTTAATAAGGGTAGGCCAATTATGGATACATTCATTGTAAGTAACAGATTGGCAAATTTATGCAGTTTTTTGTTTGTTTGTTTGTTTACCTGCCTCTGGAGAGATTTTCTACCTAAGAGCCCAGTGTTCTGTCTCCTTGAATAGGCTTTCTCCTATCTGTATTGATTTATGCTTTAGATATGTAAAATGTTAACAGATATGGCTCCACAAAGTAAAAATACAGTGTATGAAAAATATATGAAGTAATGTCACTAACCTCCTCCACCCAATTTCATACCTTCTGTTTCTATTTTTTACTACAGGTGACTAAGATTTTTGGTTCTAATTTGTTTTCCTGTGTTTCTTTAGGCATAAATTGATGTATATTTTTACATTTCACTTTATTATATACATTACCATATTTTTCTTTGAGTTTTCTTTTAAATTCAATAATATATGAGCATTGACTTTGGTGAATCTAGACTATAAAAATAATGTCTTGATAATTTCTGTGGTCTGAGTCTTTACCTGAATTATTCAGGTACCTAATTACAGTTAAGTAATAATTCCTTGTATCTCTATTTCACATTGGCTTTAGATAAGACTGTCATAGGGGAAAAATATCTACAGTAAGACAAATGTAATTTAAAAGACAAATATGAAAAAATATGACTTGAGAAGCTATAACATTTGATTTTATTATTATACTTAATATTTAAAATAAAATAAGATAGCATGTCACAACTAGATTACGTGAAGAGGGACCCCAAGTATTTTCTCCCAGACTAGCATGAGGAATAGATGAGATATTGTGAAAGTTAGTGAAAGAAGAATGACATTAAAGAAAAGAAGGAGAAGGGTGAAATGGAAAATAATATCCAGGAATAAAAAGAAGGGTTCAGGGAAGAAGGTAGATATCACTGGGATGTTGTCAATGGGTCTTCTCTAGGAAAACATCTAAAGTCATTCTATTTGTTTTCGTTTTATTGCTATTGGGGATTGAATCAGAACCTTCACACTGAGCTACATTCCTAACTTTTTTTATTTTGATACAGAACTTATGTTGCCAAATTTTCCAGGCCAGGCTTGACTTTTCAATCAACCTTCCTTAGCATCACAGAGTAACAGAATTAGAAGTCTGCAATACCATGCCTCTGTGCTGTTCTTTTTCTTTTTTTTTTTTAAACCCACTATGCTTTAAAAAAAATTATTGTAAGCAACATAAATGCTTACAATAATCTACTCTCTTAACAAAATTTTATTTTTTAACAAAATTTTATTTTTATTTATTTATTTACTTAGTATTTTAGTACAGGGTTTATAGGGTTTCACTACATAGATGTGACTCAGATTACAGATGTAAGCTACCACGCCCAGTCTCAGTTGTCATTTCAGTGTGTACCAGAGGCGGAGCCGCACTGCATGCCCGGGATGAACACTGCTGAGCTATTTGGCCGGCCCTTAACAAAATTTGAAATGTACATGACAGTATTGTTAATTATAAGCACATTGTTTTATTCTAGTCTCTAAACATGTTCATTTTGCATGATGCTTACCCAACACTTAAAAAATTCCTTTGGCTCATTCCTCAAGAGGTTCTGTAGTTGCCTCTCACTTTTTCTTTTTTAACTTTTCTCCCCCAACGCTGCCAGAAGAGGAAGTTATATTTTTAAATTTGTCCATCACTCTTTCAGTGTTCCCTTTTTCTGACCCCCTTCCTCTTCTGTTTTTGTAACATCAATTTCTTAAAAATCTTGAGATTTGGGGTAGATCCAGTAGTTGCATAAGCAATTAATTTGTCTCACCAGTAATTTTCTCCTCTAGGTTATTTTCTATTTTTAAATAATACACACAGCTCTATCCCACATTTTAGAGATGTTTCTTCAAAAATGTGTTAAAGATTTCCGTTTTAAAAATAATTGAATTATTTGATATATATTAGGGAGACTGCTGTAAAAGCAATTCAAGTATAAAATTATTTTTGGGGAGATATAAAATCTTTTATAAGCCATTAAGCACTTTTTAAGTCATATAAGGGAATTTGTTTTTACATTGTATGAGATATCAAAGTATGTACTGCATTTTATTAGTTAATATATTCACTTAAAATTCCAATTTAAAAATAATTTATACGTTTATTTTTTGTATTAGAAGTTACCCAGTCTCTTTGTGGCTTTTTGCTGCCACCTGCCAGACACTCTGCTATTGAGCGGCTTGCTAAGTGCTTGTATAGCCTTTCTGGGCAGCCTACTCTACGCCTTCTGCTCGCGGGCTCTCGTAAGGTGCTTGTGCCCTTTAAAGCGCTTTTCATATACTTTAGAGACACTTTTTGGACTGTGTCTGGTCACATGTTATTTTATTATTCTCTTTGATGGATTCATTTATTAATTGCAACTATTTTTTGCAACTATTTTATTATTTGTACTATATTTTAAGTATTAGCATTATGTTAGCATTTATGAAACAGACTTGAATAAAGTAAATAATGACCACAGATTTAACTATATGTCTTTGCTTGCCTGCTTGCCTGCTTGCCTGCTTGCTTTCTTCCTCTCTCTCACTGTCTGCCTTTTTCTCTTTCATTCATTCGTTCACTCGTTCATTCATTTTGCCTTTTGAGGCAGGGTCTCACGGTGGAGGTCAGGCTGGCCTTGAACTTACTGTGTAGCTCAGGTTGGCCTCACACTTGGTAATTTTCCTGTATCAGCCTCTTGAGTGCTAGGAGTACAGAACTACCCAGTACTACATATCATCTTTATATATAGTTTCCTCTTTCAATGATTTTTTTCTCCTTGTATTGTGTAATATGCCGTATAAAAAAGTAATAGCATAATTGATTTCATAGTAATCTTGTTACATTAGGAAAATTACAGTTTTTAGAGGTGAGAAAAATTTGAAGTATTTTGTGTTTTTGTGGGTACTTGATATATTGTATTATGTGAATTAGCTTTATTCGAATATAAAAATCTTAATAAAAAATAAAAAATTAAAAGAAAAAAAATTGCATAGCAGTAAATATAGAGTTAAAAGGAAGATATAAGGAAAAGTAGGTTGGGTAGCTAGATGAAGGACAAGGGTAGCTTATGGTTGAGGGTCAAGAAAACAAATGAGGGGCCGGGGAGATGCCTCAATAGAGTAAGCACTTCCCTGGCAAGCTCAAGGGCCTGAGTTCAATCCCCGGTTCCACCGAAAAAAAAAAAAGGAAAAAAAGACAACAAATGAATGATGGGAGAAAAAAGCCTTCAAAATTAAAGGAAAAGAATGATAACGGATACTGAATTAGTTAAATTTAACAAATTCTGGTTACATAAAAGCACTATTACAAATAAAAATCAGTAAGATGTGGCCTTGTCCTGAAAGAAATCATAGCTTAATTAGAATGCTGTAACAGTGTTAACAAGTTTGAGACCAGGTTTCTGGAATGGAGGAACTTACTAAGTCATAACAGACATCATCAGAAAGAAAGGACTGGGGCCAGGGAGATGGCTCAGTAGGATAAGCGCTTGACTGGCAAATGCAAAGATCTGAGTTCAATCCCTGGTTCTGCCAAAAAAAAAAAAAAAAAGGATTGGTCTTGGGAGGAATTCCTTCAACCACCAACAGCAAATATGTATAATATAATATACATAATATATATGTATTTATTATTATTTATTTATTTGATACAGGGTCTCGATATGCAGTTCAGACTCATAGTTATCCCTGTCTCAGCCTCCCCTGCTCTGGGATTATAGGGGTGCACCACCATGCCTGCTTTCAGTGGCTGACATGGAGTACCTAGGGTTTTGGGGCTAGTTTGGCATGTAGTATAGGGGATCGAACTCAGGATCTTGCACTTGCCAGGCAGGTGCTTAGAACGCTGAACTATCTCCCCAGCCATTACATGTATTTTTAATAAATACATAGGCAAGAGTTAAAAAAAAAAGCAAAACTCCATAACTTTAATGAGTATCAACAAAGAGCCGGGGAGATAGCTCTGTGAACTAAGTACCTGCTTGGCAAATGCAAGATTCTGAGTTTGATCTCTAGTACCAAAAAAAAGAATATTAGTAAAAATAGGTAAGATATCAAAGGAACAAATCAGCTGTGCAAGCTAAGTGACATGGGAAGCTAAGAATCTTGAAAAGTCATAAGTTAGGAGTGAATTTAAACAAAGTAAATTCTCAGGTAACTATGTTATTGTGATATGTATAGGAGAAGAGTTTATAGTTTCACAATACAGTACTTTATTATTTTATTACTAGCTATATAGTACTAGATTTAGTCCTCGTTCAAAAAATGATGTTGATATTTTCTCTTTCTTTCTTTCTTTTCTTTTTTTTTTGATCTTTTTGAGACAGGGCCTCACTGTGCAGTTCAGGCTAGCTTTGAGCTCACTTTGCATCCAAGGCTGGGCTCGAATTCATAGCGCTCCTCCTGCCTTGGCCTCCTGAGTGCTGGGATTAGAGTCATATGCCACCATGTCTGGCTATTTTCTTGGCATCTTATATATTTTCTCTTATATCCTTTATGTTTTTTTTAGAAGTGGCCTACTTTTTTCTATCTAGTGGCTTTGTAAAAATCTTATAAGGCCTGTATTTTCAAACTTGGGATGATTCATTTAAGTTTTTAGTTTCTCTCCTTTATACTTTTCCTAGCTCTTGGTCCTCCTTGGCCACATTCCAACAGAATTTCATTGTCTGTCTGAACTATCATAGTATAGCATACATGTGTCTATTATACCCCTTGCTTTAAGATTTTTTTTTTCTTGTCTTTTTGAGACATGGCCTCACTATGCAGTTTAGGCTGACCTTGAACTCACTTTATAGCCTAAGCTGGCCATGAATTCACAGTAATCCTTCTTTCTCAGCCTCCTGAGTGCTGGGATTACAGGTGTGAGCCACCATGCCTGGCCAATAATTTTGTTTTTATGTGTTTTCCTGTAGATTTGTGTGTTCCTTGAGATTGAGGTAATTATATCTACTGCCTGGTACTATACTATACATGTTTATATATTGAATAAAATAGACCTATATAATTCTTTTAGGTAAATTTCACCTGATTTCCAAGTTAGGAAGAGTGGAAAAAAGTGTGGAAGCTCATTGTGGAGCAGTACTTGCAGGAAGATGGAATTATGAAGGAACAGCATTAGTTACAGGTAAAGTTATCTACAAAATGACATTTGTGTTTAACCTTTTTTGCAGTGTGGGGGATTGCATATTGTGTCTTGTACATGCTAGGCAAGTGTTCTATCATTGAGCCATACCTCTACTTTAAATATAATAGTTTAAATGAATCTATAAGGGGAAATTTCCAAAACAACAGATATTTTCATTCTGCAATAGTCTTTCACTATTTAATAGCAAATAATTGTTACAATATTAATCCATACTGCTATAGAAATACTAAAATTCATAATGTCTGTTAGTTCTGTTATATGACTTTTGGAGGCTGTTCTGTCAAACAGGCTTTTAGGATGCTCAAGTGTGGAGTAAATTGTAATTGTATAAAATTGCAAAATTAGAACATTCACTTAACTTACTTTTATTTCTCTCTTATCCTTGTTCTCCGAGAATCTCATTTTCACTTATATTAGCTACCTATTGTACCATAACAAATCACCCCAGCAGTTAGTGAGTTCACATATAGAATCTGACCATTTTTGTGGTCAGGGTGCAGGTTAGATGGATGGCTTTTTCTGTTTCAGTACTTCCTAGATGTTACATGTTACTGCAGTCATAAGAAAGCTTGGCTGGGGCTGGTGAATCCACATCCCAGATGGGTTACTCACATGGTAGTTGGCAAGAGGCCTTAATTCTTCTCTGATTTTGGCAGGAGCCCCTAATTCCTTGCCACATGGCTATCTCTATAGTGCTGCTTGAGTATTTTTACAGCATGACAGTTGGTTTCTCCCAGTGATTTAAAAAAAACCAAAATCCTAAGATAGGATAAACCAAAATATCTTCTGTTACTCATCCTCAGAAACCATGCTCCATCATTTCCATCACATTGGGTTCATTAGAAGCAAGTCACTAAGTACAGCCCACACTGAAGGAGAGAAAAATTAAATTGCAGTCCTTAAGAGAAGAGTAACAAAGAACTTATGGATCTGTTTTAAAACCTACCATTCCTGTCTCCTGTGCCTATATAGTAGGACTTTTCTCAGTGAATTGTTCATCTCTCACCTGAATTTTTAACAACTTACTCTATTCAGTAGCTTTTCTTAGCATATAAATATGTTTAAATGTCACTCATTTTAAAAATTAAGAAGGAAATGTAAATCCTAGACTGGGCATATAGTTCACTGATAGAGAACTTACCTAGCCTTCATGAAGCCCTGGGTTACATCCTTAGCACAACACACACAAAAACAAATAAATAAAGTAAAAGTCCCTTTCTTTGGCTGGGGAGATAGCTCAGTGGTCCTTGGCAAATGCAAGGACCCAGGTTCTATCCTTGGTACCACATGCTGTGCCAGCTCCAGAACCCCAGATGGACTGTCCTGGCCACTGAAACTGGGTGTGATAGCACACCCTGTAATCCCAGTGTTGGGGAGGCTGAGACAGGAGGATCACTACAAGTCTACACTGTGTAGACCCTGTACCAAATAAATGAATAAAGATTTAAGAAAGTCCCTTTCTTAAACAACTCTAGCTACATCTTCCTCTTTCTTTCTTTCTTTTTTTTTTTTTTCAGCAAAGCTATTCTAAAGAGTGGTCTTTTATTTCACTTCATTCTATTCCCAACCCACTGGAATTTAGCTACAGAAGCTCTTCCTACACTGAAAATATTTCTCGTAGACTTCTAAAAGCGAGATTACAATGACAGTGAAGCAATATTTGAGTACATTCATTAGTCTGCTAAAATTAAAGCAAAAAAATTAAATTTTAGTTATAAAAGTTAAACTACCTTGATAAAATTGTTTCAAAGTAATTTGCATTATATTTTACAGTTGCAGAGCATTTTGTCATTTATATTTATTTGAATTTTGAACATGGCACTCAATTTTGTATGCAAATTTAATGCTTACATTTATTTCCTATAGATAACAATAATTTTTTTTTTTCTTTGTGTAGTTGGAGAAGATGGACAAATAAAAATTTGGTCAAAGACTGGGATGCTTAGATCAACTTTAGCTCAGCAAGGTATACTTTATAGTTGTTACTAACAATAGTTGATAATTTTATCTTTGAAAATTGTACAGCATAGAAAAGCCTTAACATTTTCCTATAGAAGCAATCTAATATCATATGAGATTGACTTTGACCATGTTTTAAGACCTGTAATCTTTTATTTCTATTTGTACTTTTTAATTCCAGTATTATGGTATTCATGTTATTGAATCTGAGGAATATAAGATATGCTTGAGTACTTTCTATGTTAATTTATAGAAAGGTAATTGCAGACTGTTTTAAAATAATTTTCAAGTATTTGATATTCCTTATAGATTTGGGTTGGATGTCTAGTTAAATAAATCATAGGGAAGTATTTCCTAATTAAAAAGTTTCAATAGCTTTATCATATTAGTTCACCTACTACATTATGTTGTACAGTTGATTTCTATCCTAATGGAGAGCAATGAACACACTCATGATCTGGAATTTGGTAAACGTAAGGGAGCATCTCAGTGTTCCATGTTAATGGGAAGGGGTGGGAAGGAAGTCAGTTCATTGGTCATTCCTATTGAGATTTTAGATTATGATTTTCTTCTAGAGACCTGATTATTTTTTAATTATATTTTACTTAGGACCTGAGCACGTTTAAGTGTTGACCTGAGCATATATGAGCTGATCTGCAGAGATTAAAACATTAGTAGGTTATTCTTCAGAATTATAGAAAAAATTATGTTATAAAGCATCAATAACTGACTTCCAAGGACCAGCAAGATAGCTCAGTGGACTAAGCACCCGCTTAGGCATGTGCAGGGACTGGGGTTTGATCTCCGCACCACATGAGGCTCTGGCCACTGAGACCAGGTGGCACATGCCTATAATCCCAGCGCTGGGGAGGCTGAAAACAGGAGGATCGCTGTGAGTCCGAGCTGCGTAGTGAGACCCTGTACCAAATACATTTAAAATCCATGTACCAAATACATTAAAAATAAAATAAAAAAACTGACTTCCAAAACTTTGCAGATTTCATTTTAAAAATAATGTTTATTCTTAGAATAATGTTAAAATCACATGTTTTTGTAGCTGTGCATTAAACAGATACTGACAAAAGTATGCAGAGGTTCTAATATTTTTCTTCTGAGGTTAATAAATCTTTGCTACAGATAATCTTCAGGTAGAGTATGAGTAGAAAATTTATTGTTCATAGAGCGAGTCATAGTTGAATATCAGTTTTAAAAGTCAACTTATTATTACTTTAGTAACAAAATGATAAAATGTATCTTTAGAAAATAAATCTTAGGGGGAACTACCCGCTCGGGCCCCCCCTCCTGTCCCTCTTTCGGGACAGGAGCTTTCTTTCAGTAAATATATTCTGCTCATAAGAAGAAAAAAAAAGAAAGAAAATAAATCTTGTCAGATGTAGTGATGCATGTCTGTAATCCTAGCATTTGGGAGGCTGAAGCAAGAGGATTATTATGAGTTACAGGCCAGCTTGGGTTACATAGTGAGTTCAAGGCAAGTCTAAACTACACAGCACGACCCTATCTCAAAAAAAAAAAGTGTGGGTGGCTGGAGGTATAGCTTAGTGTCAGAAGCCGCCTGCCTTGCAAGCACAGGTCCTGAGTTTGATTCCTGGTACCAAAGAAGAAGAAGAAAAACAAAGAGACAAGTATCTTACTTTAAACTTCTTTTAGATGGGGGAGATAGCTCAGTGGCTTAAGTACCTGCCTGGGAAACACAAGGTCCTGAGTCCAATCTCCAGTACCAAAAAAAAGTTGACAAGAAAATACTAGTGTAAACTTCTCTTAGTGAGCATGGAAATTTGCTTTTGGTTTTATAATTTTTTTTTTTTTTAAATGGGATTAAACCTGGGTCCTTGTGCATGCTAAGCAAGTGCTCTACCACTGAGCTATATACTAGTTCCTAAAGATTTTTCTATTAAAGCTAATTATGTGAATTATTTTTATTTATTTTTACTTTCTGATAAATGATTTATAAACATTTTATGATAGTCTAGAGATCACTAAAACCTTGGAATGACTATAGGTAATTTTAGTAGTTTTCACTATTGCTCTTGCTGTGGCATCTTTTTTCTTCTTTATTGCTTTTGCTGCCTTCAAGTGACACATTGTTAGAGAAATTCTGAAAGTTTATCTCACTATCCATCATAGAAGATCTGAATTCTGGGGTCCTTCACCTTCATAATCAGACAAAGTCTCTGGGGCAGGTAAGATAGCTCAGTGGACTAAGCACCTACTTAGGCAAGTGCAGGGACTGTGGTTCGATCCCTAGCACCACATGCTGTACCAGGCATGCTGAGCCGGCCACTGAGACTGGACATGGTGGCCCACACCTGTAATCCTAGGGGAGCTAGCTCAATAGAACAAGCACTTGCCAGGGGCCTGAGTTCAATCCCTGGTTCTGCAAAAAAACCCAAAAAAACAAAAACCCAGCTGGGGAGGCTGAAAACAGGATCACTAGGAGTCCTAGCTGTGTAGTGAGACCCTGTACCAATCACATAGAAAGAAAGAAAGAAAGAAAGAAAGAAAGAAAGAAAGAAAGAAAGAAAGAAAGAAAAGAAAAAAAGACTCTGATTATTGACCCTATTATTAAGATTTTTGCAGTGATGGGGATGAACTCAGGGCCCTGACTATGCTAGGCAGACAATTCACCACTGACGGCATGCTCAGCTCCGGACTCTGATAATTTGTAAGCTTTTGCTGATAAATTTTGAGGGTGATTGTACATCTGAACTACTGAGAAAAAGGTGCTAATCACTACAGTCAGCAGTCAAGGTAGGTGGAGTAAATGACTCCTGTTTCCTCTGAAGAAAGCGACTATAACTTTTGATACAAAGTAAAACTATGTAAGCCTAAATTATGGTTAAATAGGAAGTTACATAAAAGGTGTTGAAATCATCCTGGAGATTTTTTTTTCATGTTCATGTTATTTGATAAGTTGAAAGGAGCCTTCCTAATGCTTCTGTTTTCTTAAATTATTCTCAGTCACCTCTTTCCCATTTATTACTTTTGGAGCTACCATTGTAGACTTCTCAAAGTCTAACATGAAAGCCTGAAATAAATTGTTTATTATAAACATTGTTAATCAGTACCCTAGGGGGCCTGCCCTTAGCTCAGTTGTTTGAGTGCCTGCTCATGCAAAGGCAGTCAGGAGCAGGACACCACAGTTTTATCCTCAGCTAGCCCTGCCATTCAGGCAGCCTGAGCCACACACACACACACACACAAAAAAAAAAAAAAAAAATCCTTGTAATCAGTACTATAACTTTTCTGTATGTATAATGGATCTCAAAACCAAACTGCTGGGACCAGGGAGATAGCTCAGTACAATAAGAGGGGGCCTAGCCCTAGCTCCATTCTTTAAGTGGCTGCTTCCATAATGCTGGCAGCCGCAGTTTGCTGTAGTTCGATCCCCACAACACTCCAGCCATGCAAAAGTGCCCTGAAGGCATTCAAGGAGCAAAAAAAAAAAAAAGTCCTTATTCAGTACAATAAGCGCCTGCCTGGCAAGTGCAGGGGCCTGAGTTCAATCCTTGGTTTCTCCAAAAAACAAAAACAAAATAAACAAACTGCTTCTTATTTTAGTCTTATTTGCCAAGGGCAGGTTGGAAACACGTGTTTACGAATTTCGAACTTCCTGTAATGTCAGAAATTACAAATGTGGCCTGTAGGCTGCATCTGTCTGACAGGGCAAGATGTAGGCCCAATTTTCAAATCAGGACACTTAATTTACAGATATAGATCTTTTAAAAAAATTAGAAGAGATGACAATATTGGGTTTGCTGTATGACAAAAATACAGTTAGTATTTACTAGGGTTACTTCATTTTTAGCTGGATTTTTAAAACTTTTTTACATATTCTTATTATACAGTAAATCTTCTTCCTTGGTTTTTATTTTAATTTTTATATATAATAGGAGGTATATTCACATAGATAAGAATTTAAAGCATAAAAAGGTGTCATGTTACTTTATATCACTTTTTACTTTAAAATACAACTCTCCTTTACGTCTCTCCTTTATCCCTGTACCCACTTACACTTAGTGAGGCAACTACTGTTACCATTTTCTTGTGTAGTAAAAAAATATGATAATGTGCTTATATATGTTAAAATATATTTATAAACAAGTTGTATATTATTGTGGTATGCTCTTTGCCTTTTTTCTACTTGAATCATGAACTATTTTATAGTTTCTATGCAGCATATAAAATTGTCCTCAACTTGTTTTCTACAATGGGTGTGCTAAGCAGTGTATAAAGATTTCAGTTTTCAGCATCCTAGCCAATGCTTGTTTCTGCCTGGTGTGTGTGTGTGTGTGTGGGTGGGTGGATGTGGGTGTGGGTGTGGGTGCGGGTGTGTTGTGCTGGGGATTGAACCCAAAGCCGTACAAGTGCTAAGCATGTAGTCTGCTACTGAGCTATACTTTTAGCCTTTGTCTATCTTGTAATTGTAATAGAGTGGGTGTGAAATGGTATCTCAATGTGGTTTTGATTTACATTTCCCTGATAGCTAATAAGATTGAACATCCTCTTTCTTTCTCTCTCTCTCTCTCTCTCTCTCTCTCTCTCTCTCTCTCTC